TGCCCAATAATTGCGCCACTTCATCCTTGCTTCTTGGCTCTCTTTGTGCTGAAGTGGCAGCTTCTGAATGGAGATCTAATTCCTTTTGTTTCGACACATCGGAGGAAGTATGTGTAAATGATCATCATTTGCTCTTCAAACAAGATGGCTGAACAAAAGGCACAATCAGGGCCTCTTTCAGGCAGGAAAATAGCACAGCCAGCTGTGGTTGTGGCGGGGGGGGGGGGGGGGGGGGTTAGGCTTGTTTCTCCCACTTCTCCCACGACGGTTGGAAAAGCACAGATGTGTTGGGTCAGGAGCATTTGGTACTCTTGTTGAGAGAAAACGGTGGTTCGTGATGGTCCATGTTCCATCGGCTCTTGCGGTTCATGGGATTTATGGCTTACAGTTCGTGTGATTTATGGGGAACGATTCTCCAAATGAATAGTTTGGGGTTTTGTTTCATTCTAAGCAGGCTCATGTTCCTGCAAAATGAGGAAACAGCCCAATTCATGAGGGGTTCTGCTTCATAGTTCATCTTCTACCTGTTTCTACTCATGTTCCAGATGTTCCCTAGGCAGAATAGGACCCCATAGAGACTCTACAATGTGACTTGAACAAACGGGGTCTGAGTTCCCACCAAAACCCATGTGTTGAGCGCAAGTCACTGGTGCGAATTAAGTCAGACTCAACGGCAACTCGTGAGTCCCCATCCTAGACAGATTGGGACCTCAGGACATGTCTGAACGCCCCCCTCTAACAGGAGCAGCCCATCCTTCCCTCGAATCCCAGGTCGGATGACGGAAGGTGCTTACCTCGAGGGAGGCCTGGAAGGAGAAAACAAGGAAAATCCCAGGTCGGGTGACGGAAGGCGCTTGCTCCAAGGGAGGCCCGGAAGGAGAAAACAAGGAACCAGGCCCTCTCAACAGTGGCTCCTCAGCCATGGAACGAAGGGCCAGACAAGATTTGCCAGGCCCCCTCCCCAGAGACCATTAGCAAAATCTTTAAAAACTCTCTTGTTTAGGCAGACTTTCTGAACCTTTCCCTCACTAAATGCTCGGCTTTATGTGCGAGTGAGCCCTTTCCACCGTCCGACGAATGTCAGTTTTATTGGGGTTTTATGCTGTTTCTCTCTTGCTTCTTTTATGGATGCATGCCACTCAGAGCGGCCATTTGTTGGAGAGGTGGCCTAGAAGTCTAACGAACGAACGAATGAACAAATGATTAAAATTTGTGGAACGGGCTTCTCATTTTTGCTTGATATGTAGAAACGGGCCCTCTGCAAGGCCTGTTTCCTTGCTTATTATGCTTCACCAGCGCAGCTTGACTGTTCCCTCCCAGCGATGCGTTTTATAGCTTCCTACACACACACACACACAACCCTCTTTTATCTTTTTTAGAATTAGACAGGTTGTTTTCTGAGCCAGCCGTTGCTCTCGGTGCAACAGACCTCCGCATGCTCTGGCATGCCAAAGCCCTCTCCCCCTGTTGATTAATTCATGTTCCGTCGTTTCTATGTCTTCCAATCCCATCTTCGTTTCTCTTCCCGCTGCCAGACATGGACGCTGCCTGTCAAACATTTCCCAGGCTCCCTGGGAGATTTGGGAGAGCTTGGTTCTGAACATTGACTCGATTATCATCTTCATTCCACCTGCCTTTCCCTGTCCTGCGTTATCCATCACCTTGCGCTACCTTCTGGACAGATTGCTCCCGTTCTCTCCCAGGGAAATGGAAACTCATTTCTCTCCACTGAGCTCAGAAAGCTGTAAACATGCTCGAGGCAAAGGGAATAAAATCAGGAGGCTGTGACCTGAAGCCTTTCACCCTTCAGGATCATTTCAGGCTATGGGGTGCTGAGTAATTGAACTCCAAGTGTGAAGAGCAACTGATTGCTCGGCCCCAATGGGCGGGAGAGGAAATCAAGGATGGAAACAGACGCTGGTTTTCAGGGGACATTAAGGTTGTCACAGGCATATACATTTATTTAATGGCTTTCTTGCAGTACTGAATGCAAAGCAACGCAGGCAATGAAAATACAGAGGGAGGAAATTAAGATCAAGACAAGCAACACAATGAAAGCTGATTAAAACCGGAATTGTAGGAAGACCGAAACAGAGGTAGCAGACGGACATCCTAATTCAATATACAGCAATCCTGGAGTTAATGGCTGAAATCCTGTTGCTTAGCATAAGAAAATGTGCAATTTGCAATCTGTTCTGAACAGCAAATACTGTTTCTTTGGGACGTGCACTCACTGGCTTGGTGCATGTATGCACAGCAGATCCTTGAAAATCATATACAGTATTTGCCAGTTAGCTCCTGGCAAAAGGTTCGGAGTTCGATTCCCCATCTGTGCCTCCAGGGAGAAAAGCCAGCCTGTTCGCCAGTTAGCTCCGGAAAGTTGAGATGGCTGAATAGCTCAGAGGTCCAGGGAGAAAAGCCAGCCTGGGTGGACTTGGGCCAGCTGCACCATCCCACAGTGCCCCTAGAGGAAGGCAATGGTAATGCACTCCTGAGTATATTCTCTACCTGGAAAACTCTGAACAAGAGTCACCATAAGTCAGAATTGACTTGATGGCACTTTATTATTATTACTGAAAGCTACATCTTTTCTAATACTAAGCAGCAGGATTTCAGCCAATATATCCTTGACTCTTTGTAATGTAATCTTTTTCTCAAAGTTTTGGATGAGAGCAGGTAGGGGAAATTTGCCAGGGGACACCAAAGTTGCAGGGGTAGGAAATATTTCCGAAGACAACCTCAGGCTTCAAGGCGACGTAAAACACTTGTCGAGCTGGGCCAACGCAAACGACATGTGTGTCAACAGGGAAAAATGTAAAGTTTGACATTTAGATGGAGAAAAACCAGACACAAAAATAAAGGACAGGTGACAGCTGTCTTAGCAATAATATGCATGGAAACAGACTACAGTTCTTAGCAGAACTACAGGTTGAACATTTATCAGTAGTACAATTTGCTGGGGGGGAGGAGAAATAAAAAAGAAGGCTACTGCAATATCAGGTTGCATCATACAGAAACATAGTGTCCTGATCAAGGGAATTAATAATATCGCGGAACCCTGCTATCATCAGACCTCACCAGGAACCCTGTGTTCATTTGGGGGCACCCCCATGGAAGAGGGATATTGACCAGCTGGAACTAGAGATGGGCATGCACCAGAAAAGCAATGGTTCATGATGGTTCCTGGCTACCCATGAACCATGGACCAAGACAATCACACACACACACCCAAAAAAATACCAGTCAGTTTGCACATAGTTTTTCGGGTTCATGCCAGGGGGAACCTTCTGCTCCTCGGAGGGTGCCAGCGACAGAGGAGGTGGTGGCCGCCACTTCCAGACAAGGTAGAGGGGCTATGAAGCACAGGGGGGGGGGAGATTGGGGCTTCATTTTGTTTGGGCAAAATAGGTTCCCAAACCGAATCACGAACCTAACCACAAACCAGCCCAGTTCGTGTTTCTTTCTGGTTCATGGTTTGGTTCGTGTCCATCTCTAGCTGGAACATGTCTTGAGGAGGGCCACCAAGATGGCAGAAGGTGTAGAACGCAGCCCCATGAAGAAGGATTGAGGGAGGTGAGTACGTTTAGCCTGGAGAAGCAACCGTTTGCAGATTGTGGGACTGGCATTGCGTGTCGCCGAGCGGCTCTTGACTTCAGGCCAACCCATGCTGGGTGAAAGAATCTCCCAGAGGTTCTCTCCTTAACAGCCCTGCTCCAGCTTTGCAGAATAAAGACTGTAGTGACCCCTATTGAGTCGGTTTATTGGGTTGGCAAGATAACCACCCCGAACTGTTTGGAAGGCTGCCACATAGAAGAGGAGATCAAGCTGGTTTTCTGCAGCTCCAGAGGGTAGGACTTAAATGAGTGGAAACAAATGGCGAGAAATGGCTAATGTTTAGACGACAGAGTGGACAACGTCCACATGTGGTGGACTCTGCTTTGTAGGAGGCTTTTAGAAGGTCATACACATTAGAACACTGTTCTCCTCTAACCTAAGGCATTCCAATGTTCCCAGAATGCCAATACACCCACGTCGGCATGGATAGCCCACTGTGTGACACAAAAGTAGGAGACTGCAGGGCATTGAGATAGGGTTGTCCAACGCTTTGAATAATTATCAACAATCACGTCGCCAAAATGAATCTAAATGGGAAGAGAGTACCAACGGATGTGTATTGTTCATGGAGTCCTCAGGGCATCTTTTGTATGTAAATTGTCTTTCTGTATGTGAATTGTCCATGGTTAATGATGCTCTGGGGACAATGGTTGGCTCTCGCTCAGCATTTTTCAAGCTAGACTGGCCCAACTGAGAGCCATTGAGTGATGGGTCCTTGAATTGATTCGGTGTGCGCTCTGTGATTCTTCCCAGCTTCTGTGCATGCACAGGATTGGGCTGAGGGTACCTCAGGACTGAGCAGGGAGAATTTGGGGGGATAGGAACCAACACCCACACCTCATGGTTCATGAACTACCTATGGGATTTGGTCTTGAACTTTGAGTACTACAAGGTAGTTTCCGAGGGTGGACCTAGATCTCCTGAGTTGGAGTCATTCCAGTAAGCTTATAGCGTAGGCCACTGGGGGTTAACTTTTAGCTGAGAAATATAAGAATTCTGTTCAACACATTGGGGAACAAACTGGTTTCGTTCATGCCTCCTGCCTGAAAAGTGTCGTTTGGAATGCAGGCATCCTTTCAATTCTGCTCTTCTTCCATTTTTCGCCATGCAGTTTCTGCCTTTGAAAAATCACAGACAAAGCTGCAATTTTTTTTAAAACTGCAGGAGGCATTTATAAAGAGGCAGAAATCGGGTTTGCTCTAAATGTATGCAAACTCGCACAGTTTGAGAGAGCTTGCTGAACGAGGGGAGCCAACGTGTGCTGGGAAGGGGAGCAAAAATATGGACAAATCAGGCAGAAGACCTTGAATAGATGGGACTCTTTTTTCATCCGGGGAAAGGAGATCCTGGATTCAACCCATCCACTGTTTTCTTTTCTTTTGCAGGCTACGGCAATGCATTCGGACTGCTTCCTCAAGAAGGAGCAAGAAGCCTGCTCGGAGATGATCCAGAAGCTGACCTCTTTAATCCCGCTCAACGAATCCTCTCCAGGTACAGTCTGGGACACAGACCTAACTCAAAACTCTTGCCTTGCCTTTGATCCTCCAGGGTAGAGTCTCAAGAGTTCTGCTAAGGAAGGAAGGACCGAGGAAGCTAAGTAGATAAATAGTAGAATGCTGGTCAAGCCCCAGAACGGCTGGACAGCTGAGTGGTTTAGGTCTTCAGAGCCAGGAGTTCGAATTTCCCACTGTGCCCCTTTGATAGGGGCTGGAGACCATGATCCATAGGGTCCCTTCCAGCTCTGTAGTTCTTAGATGATGATGATGATATCATCATTAAGACCTGCAGCTCCAAGTGGCGATGGCGGTGACAATACCAAGACCTTGGAGGATTCACCGGTTTTAAAAGTTACTTCCATGAGCTGCCTCTCCCAGCATTCCCAGACAGATTCCTCTAGCCAGCTCCCAGAATCCCCCCACCTAGAATCCCAGTGGGTTTCCAGAACCTTCCGACCCGTTCTCAGAATCCTGCCCCCTCCAGTTGACTCCCGGAATCTTCCAGCCAGAATCTCAGTTGGTTCCCAGAATCCCTCACCCGCTTCCCAAATTTGTCCAGCTGGCGTGGCCAGCGACCATGCCGTGGCCATTGCTGACTGGGAAGACGGTGCGGGTGATGGCTTTTAAAAATCAGTAACTTTTTCCGAGCTCCTGCAGACGGTCTTATCATCGAAGGACATCACTGAAGTAGTTACAGGAGCAGGTAGAGCAGCAAAATTAGAGGATATTTCTTGGGATTTTGGGACATTCTCATGGTCGATGACCCACTGCTGTGGGATTTAGCAACCATGAGTGATTACAAACTGCCGAGGAGCTAAGTTGCAATTAATTACATACAGCCGAGACTGCGGCTGAGGGAAATACTGCCATATATGCAACTACTTTGATCTTCATTTATATCCTCCGGCAGTGAATCCAGACAGCTCTTTGGGCGATCCCTTCGCACGTGTGTGTGTGTGTGTGCGGGGAATTGTGAATAATTTTCCAGGAGCTGAGAACTTGGAATAATTACCTCATGAGGAAATGTTCTTGAAGGACTCAAAATCTTGGCTAATAAAGGGATGGACCCACTAATTCTTGGTTAGACTCATGGACCTTTCTGTCTTCTTGGAACTGAGATGAATTATTTGGGGGAAATGGGTTCCAGGACTTCAGAGGTCAACCTCCACCGTAAATGGGGCGTCTGAGGAGACCAACATCTGCCCTCTTCCTCCTTCTGACCTTGCCCACTCCTGCCTTCAAGCCCCGTCTCCCTTATATTCCTTCTGTCTAAAGAGATTTTGCTCCCTCATGTGTCGGCCCTGGTGCTCGCAAGAGCGCTTATTGGTTTTGCGGCCCTTCTCACCCCTTCTCTCGTTGCTGGCTGAAAGAGTGGAAAGCTTATTAAATGAGGCAGCTGGGGAGGCCGAGGTTGCGCGTTCCTTGTTTTGCAGAGAAGAAAAGAGACAGAGCACGCACGTCCTTTACAGAGGCAGGAGCCAGAAGGGCAGAACGGGCACAGAATGCAAAACCAGACTTGTATCTCATGGAATCTCTGAGCAGCCAAGATGGAGGGGGACGTGGGCCACCTCAAGCAGGTCATCTTGGCAGAGTTGGAGGGGGCATTGCCTCAGGCGGCAGAGCGGTGAGGGTAGCAAATGCCCCATCCTTTGCCATCACCCCAGGAGTGCGTTGGCTGGCTTAGGAAGAGCCGTTCTGCTGTGAACCACTCTCTAAATAATCATCATGCCATCAAGTCAGTTCCGACTTCTGGTGACCCCTTTCGGTGTTTTCTAGGCAGATAGTACTCAAGGTGCTTTACCCTTCCCTTCCACTAGGGGCGCCCTAGAGTCATGCAGCTTGCCCAAGGGTACACAGGCTGGCTCTGTTCGTAGGAGTCCCAGTGGGGGAATTGAACTCCCAACCTCTGGCTCCACAGCCAGAGACCTATCCAGCCAGAGTAATCCTATACCATCAATTCCATTCTGACGGAATGGTGATCCTTTCCAGGGCTTTCCATGTAAGAGAGTACTCAGAAGTGCTTTACCATTCCCTTCCTCTGGGATGGTGCAGCTTGCCCAAGGCTACACAGGCTGGCTTTCCTTGCAGGAGGTCCAGTGGGGGGGGGGAATCAAACTCCCATCCTCAGCAGCCAGAGACCTAACTCCCTAGCTTATCTTGCTATCTCCAGTCTATAAAACAAGATGCTTTTTTTTAGTGCCTTGTGCTGAGCAGTCTTCAGAAGATCACCCCTTGCCTCCAGATTATATACGGACCCGGGAACTAACGCAATCGAGTGGGGTTATTGCTTCTCCGGCACCGTTAGTCATGCAAGAAGCAACCAGGTCGACTATTTTGCAGTTCCCACTGAGGGGGTGACTTGCCTGGCTAGAAACACTGCATCCCGGTGATGCTGAAACAGCGATTCTGGCTCCCTAGGAGGTTGGAGAGGGCTAGCTAAGGAGCCCGTGACATGCTGAGCCCAGTTGGGATTACAGTCCTAGCAAAGATAAAAGCTTATTTTGCTTCCTGAGCTCAGCAAATGTGGCCACGTGAACAGCTGCTAAGGGACGCATCCAGCCCTCAGGTATCCAGCCTTAGGCTCAATGAAGGAAAATCACCGAACTGACACACACACCCTTTCCTTTGCTTGTGCGGCACTGTGGTGCACAATCACAGCTTCAACCTCCATTTTGGAATTTGAGCGCTGTCAATAGAATCCTAGAACGATGGGGTTGGAAGGGGCCTAGAAGGCCATCAAGTCTGACCCCCTGCTCAAGGCAGGAATCCAAATCAAAGCAAATCTGACAGATGGTGGTCCGGTTTTCTCTTGAAGGCCTCTAGCGTTGGGGTGCTCACCACCTCCCCCTGAGGTTGATGGTTCCGTTGTCCTATTGCTCTAACAGTTAAGACATTTTTCCTGATAGTCAGCCTAAATCTGGCTTCCTGGAACTTGAGCCCATTATGATGTGTCCTCCACACTGGGATGATCAAGAACAGATCCTGCCCCTCCGGTGTTTCACTATCTTCCATGTATTTGAAGAGTGCTCTCCTATCTCCCCTCAGTCTTCTTTTCTCCAGGCTAAACAAGCCCAGTTCTTTAAATCTTTCCTCCTAGGTCTTGGTTTCCAACCCCCTGATCCTCGTTGTTGCCCTCTACTGAACTTGTTTTAATTTGTTGGCCTCCTTCTTGAAGTATGGTGTCCAGAACTGGACACAGAACTCTAGATGAGGCTTAACCAGTGCTGAATAGAAGGGGACTAGTAACTTAAAGCTTATTGAACATACGACTGAACATATGACTGCTTCTTCTTGACATGGCCCTTCAGCTTCCTCCCCCAGGCCTCCTGGTTCTGCCCCCATCCTGGCCACTCACTCAGAACTGTCCCACTGGGGACTGAACAGAACCACTGGGCAGGAGGGGAGCTCGGCGTGGCTCTGCATTTCGTGATAATGAAGGGAGCGCATATATTCTCACCGTGCCCTTCTGCAAGAGCAGAGGCGCACGTGGAGGACATAATTGCGGCTCCTGTCCTGCCAGAGGGGCCGAGGGAAATAAGAACAGCTTGCCGAAGGTCTTTGGAAGGACGGGAGATTGATGAGGCCGTGGAAGCCAAGGGGCCGAGCGAGCGGCAGTTCTCTCACCGCTGCAGGCAGAGAAGCGAGGTACCATCTCGCTCCAGAGCGTGAAACATTTTTCCAAAGTGCCCGTCTGCGAATTTGTCTCTCCCTCAGCACTTGGGCAAAGCAAAATTGCCGATTCTCTCTCTTCCCCCATCATCCAGCCATCTCCCCGTCGTTTGCTGATTTTATTGTTTAGAATGAAACCAATGCATGGGGCGGGGGGGCTCGCTTCGACTGATTTGATTTTTGGTAGGCTGTGTCTTGTCAGCAAGCAGATTGGCATCGAATTTAGTCAGGTAAAGGTTCCCCTTGACGTTTAGTCCAGTCATGTCCGACTCTAGGGCGTGGTGCTCATCCCCGTCTCCAAGCCGCAGAGCCAGCATTTGTCCGTAGACCGTTTCTGTGGTCACGTGGCCAGCGTGAATAGACACGGAATGCTGTGACCTTCCCACCGAGGTGGTCCCTATTTACTGACTCACCTTTTTACATGCTTTCGAACGGCTAGGTTGGCAGGAGCTGGGACAAGCGACGGGCGCTCACTCCGTCACGTGGATTTGATCTTACGATGGCGGGTCTTCTGACCCTGCAGCACAAAGGCAGAAAATGATGGTGGACGTGCAGGAGGGCAAACATGATAAACATTCATCACAGTTTGGAAATACAGTCTGGACTACAAGGCCCAGAATACCCCCAAGAGATGGGAGGACGTTTGGGCATGAACCAAGGTGTGGATTCCCAGATTCCTTGCCCCACCTCTTCCTGTGGGCACTCACTCAGAGGAAGTGGTGGGGCAGGAAACCCAAAACATCCACGCAACACCTGTGGATCTGATCCACTGAATCATGCCAGTGCACGGTTCATCCCCATCTCTAGCTCATATAAATGTGTGGGGAGAGTTTGTTTGCTTGGCCGTGTGTTGTTTTAATCTTGATTATTGTCGAATTTTATGTCATGATCCTGTAAGCTCCCCAGAGATGTGGCCCGGCCACTCGATGGGTGAGGTAAAAATGTAAATAACTAAATAAACAAACACAGTACGACTGGGGAGCGGGGCAAAAAGCACAAAACCAGGATGCAGTAGGGACCCCCATATTCATTGGGGATTGGTTCCAAGTCCCCCGTGGATACTGAAAACCGTGGATAATAGTGGATATATATTGAAGAAAAAAGGAGAAAAGGGAAAGGGAAAAATCATTTTTACATGTATTACCAGAAGCAGCCACTAATAAATATTCATAACATGGTCTCTGGCTCCCTCTAGTGGCCATTCTGGTAATAAATGTGAAACTATTTTTTCTCGTTTTTTTCTTTTAATATTTTTAATATTTTCAGACCATGGATAAGTGAAACCGTGGATACTGATTCCATGGAGACAGGGGCCCTCCTGTATAT